GAGAGAGAGAGAGAGAGAGAGAGAGAGAGAGAGAGAGGCTCTGAGAAAGAAGGAAAAGCAGGTTTTATACACTTGGATGATTCGATGCCTTTTACTCAACAGTCTGTATATTTTTTTTGTGAATGCTTGCAACCGTTTGCGAAGTCCGGCCTCCTATTTTATGAATCTGTTTGGTATCTTTGTGATTGGTTTCGGTGCAGAGAGGCTGGCGGAGTGGGAGAGGGTTGACAATGGCGCTGACTAGGATCGGTCGCAGTCTTCTAATGCGCACAGAGACGGGGCTACCACCCATGTTTGTTCGCAGGGTGTCAGTGCAGGCAGAATCTTCGACCAATGGGGGCAGTGCAGGGGAAGGAGGAGGCATGCTGCCGGCGGGAATCGAGAAGGGGGAAGTTGGTGCAATATCAGGTGTGCCGACAGAGCACTTGAGGAGGAGGGTGGTGGTATTCCAGCCGTCGAAAGTTGTCACTCAGTCTGGATCGTCTAAGTGGAAGAACTGGAGGATTACATTTCTCTCCACGCAGAAATGGGAGAACCCGTTGATGGGATGGACGTCGACATCAGACACATTGGCGAATGTGGGGGAGGCAGGGTTATACTTTGACAGCAAGGAGGCAGCCATTCAATTTGCTGAGAAACACGGATGGGAGTACGAGGTGCAGGGGCCCAAGGAGGAAGTGAAGACGCCGAAATCGTATGCGGACAATTTCAAATGGAGGGGTCCTGCACCACAGAAATGATTCGGAACAGCGCTGACGCAATCTGTCGGTCGCCTGTTAATGTAAAAAAAAACATAACCTGTGTTAAAACTTAAAAAATGATGCTAATCGACGTAATCGTAATGAAAAAGGAGGATGTGTGTGCAATCCACTATCGGTTGTGTGTGTGGATTAATCATCCAAGAGCACAATCCTCTATGCCACACAAGAAACCTGCACCCATAGAAACCAAGCGCCACACATACGCACTCACACAACACACTCACACGCACACACAGACACACATACACAGACACACACACAGCACAGCTACGCTCTTTTTTGGTGGAGTTGTATATACTATATAGTGAAGATGACAAAACACACACATGCACACAGAACAATCTGCCACCGTCATGCTTTTTCGGTGGATTTGTAATATAGTGCACATCACAACACACACACACACACACACACACACACACACACACACGATGACGAAGAGGAGGAAGTAGAGGAAGAAGAGGAGAAAGAAGAGAAGGGGAGTAGAGGTAGAGGATGATGGTAGAGGTGGGGAAGGTGCAGGAGAGGGGGCCAGTGGTCGTGGTGTTGATGGTAGCGGTAGTCGGGGATCAGCAGGGGAAGAATTGGTGGTGGAGAAAGTGGGCGTCAAACGACTAGCACTGTGCTGATCTCCACTAGTCCGATCTGTTTCTTGTGGGTCAGCTGCAGGGTTGGTCTGTGGGGGCACAGTTTCAGCAGCAGCCGCCACCAGGGTAGGGTGCTTTTCTCGAGTCGTTTTTTATCCCTACACGTGGAAAGTGGTTCGATCATGGATGTGACTGGGAACCTGGTTGCAATGCGTAGCTGCCATGAGGTACTGGAAACATTTCCTGCTTGGTCTGGTGGTCCTTGCGGAGGCTTGTGGTGCTCCCTTTTTTTTTTTTTTTTTTTTTTTGTCTGGGTCATTGTTGATCCACAGTTGGCTCTTGCTTCTCTGTCAAGATGAATAAAGTTCAATAATAAACAGAAAAGTTGAGATGCAATCAGACTCGCTTCCATTCACACTTCACATGCATGCTAACAGGTTGCGCAGCAAACTGGCGACAAGCGCCCACTCAAAACTCAGAGATATGGTAACCAAGAACACAGTTCAGATACGATCTCACTTCAGATGGCTATGGCGCATCAGCGCCTATACAAATCTCTGTTCGTCACTCACACAACGCTGCTGTTCACACACCGGATCACCCTGGATATCCCACACGCAACACTCTATACACTCGCACACACCCGCACACACCTACAGCTATGGCGGCTATGGCCGCTGCTACTCTATCGCTATGGCTAACTTCCTTCTCGCCCACTTTGTCCTCGGGCTCACTGCAGACCACCTTGCACAAGTCGCAATTGCAGCGCTTCCGCATGGCTCACGCAGGAATCAATCAATGGCTGGACGCTGCCTCTTGATTTATACTCCTGTAACTCGCTGGTCTGCCCTTTCCCATCGGCCCATGGTGCACACAATCCCTCATGGTACTTGCTGGACTGGACTGGGACTGACGGGACCGGTACCGCTGACTGCATGGGTTTGCGTCGCAGACTCACTGCAGTCGCACTGCCAACGAACTGAGGTTGGCTCCACCACTTGCCCACTTGCCTCTGTCTAAACGTGAGCCCACTCCTGAAAGGCCACTTCCGGGATCTTCCAGAAGTCTGTGGACTTGGTCTGCCCTTTCCCATCGGCCCACGGTGCACACAGTCCCTCATGGTACTTGCTGGACTGGACTGGGACTGACTGGACCGGTACCGCTGACTGCATGGGTTTGCGTCGCAGGCTCACTGCAGTCGCACTGCCACTTGCCCACTTCCCTCTGTCTAAATGTGAGCCCACTCCTGAAAGGCCACTTCCGGGATCTTCCGGAAGTCTGTGGACTTGGCCTTTCGGGTACTGTAGCAGCTACGACCTTGCCCTTTCAGGACTGTAGCAGCTACGACCTTGACTCTTCGGTAGACCTATAGCTACGACCTCTACAGAGCTGTGACCCCCTACTCGACAGACCTGCAGATCGAATCCCTACATCTACAGAGTCCTACGACAGACAAACAACAACTAACAAAACACAGGTCACGGGTTCAAGCACTCAGCGGTCATCTCGATACTGTAGAGTGTACACAGATAAGGTGAGAACTAGGGATCGAGCCCTGGGATCTGCATTCGCTACTGCTAACAGGTGAAAACCGTTTCAGAGAAAACTCGGCGGTCCCCTGGGTTGTTGACTCGTAAAAAAAAAAAAAAAAAAAAAAAAAAAAAAGGATGTTAACTGGTGTCATACAAGAAAACATTGCCGAGCTTCTTACTCTCTTGGGGCTATATAACAAACTCGGGTGGACCTTCGACAGTCAAAAAAAAAAAAATACTGATCGAGTTTGTCATATCTCGCCCCATGACAGTTACAAGCTGGGCGATGTTTTCCTTGTATATTGACGCCGGTGACATCTTTTTTTTTTTTTTTTTTTTTTTTTTACGAGTCAAGAAACCCGGAGATAGCTTGAGGTCCTGGTAGGAGCAGAGGCCTCAAGCTGGTCCTCGGGAGGTTCCATTTATTGGTGGGGAGCGCCGGAGTGGCACCTGGGGTGGGAAATGGGCCGAACGGTCCGCTTGTACAAATTGCGGAAGTCATATACAAAGTTCATTTGGAGCATGCGAGGGGGTGCCTCTTCGGCCTGAAGATAGGGCCGCCACAAGTATTCCTGAAGATACAAGCTACTTCACCTGGTATCTATCTGTGTGCTGATTGGTGATGCCTGGTATCTATCTGCGAATTCTAGCGTATGTGACAAAGAAATTGGGGGGTTGTGCGCTAGAATGAGTCGTATGAACGAAGTGAGGGATAAGGAGAAGACATGGGGGAGATGAGGCAGGAGAGGGCGAGGAGGAGGAGGAGGAGGAGTGGGGAAAGGAAGAAGAAAGATGTAGAAGAGGAGGAGGAGGAGAAGGCGGGAGAAGAAGAAGGGAAGTGACAGGGATAGGACAATGTCATAGGAGGGGAAGCGAAGGGAGAAGAGAAAAGGTTAAGGAGGGGAAGGAATAGAAAGAGAGACAAGGAGGAGAAGAAAAGCGATTGAGAAGAAGAGGAGGAGGAGGGAGGAGGATGCTGACGAGGTTGATGACACTGATAGAAAGAGGACAAGGAGGATGTGGTGGGGATCAGATCAGCAAATGGGCGCAGGAGGCATTGGAGAAGTGTGGAAGAAGTAACCGAGAACAAGGCGAGGAGGGAGAAGACATGAGGAAGGAGAGGGAGCAGAAGAAGAGGAGAGGAGGAACAGGAAGGAAGAGAGAAAAAGAAAAAGAGAAGAAGAGGAGGAGGAGGAGAGGAGAAGCAATCGAGAAGAAGAAGANAGGAAGGAAGAGAGAAAAAGAAAAAGAGAAGAAGAGGAGGAGGAGGAGAGGAGAAGCAATCGAGAAGAAGAAGAGTAGTAGTAGTAGTAGTAGGAGGAGGAGAGGAGGAGGGAGGTGCCGACCAGAATGGCAACACTGGTAGACGGTGGACAGTTTTCGATACTTGTCAGACGGTTTAAAGATTGGATTAATAAATTAATAACAATCCAAATCCATTTCTATTGAAACCCCCGCCCCGTAACAGTTTGGCATTTCCAGGAGTTGGGACATTTCGTTTAGCAGTTGCATTTTTTTTAACTTAAACAAACTTCAAAAAAGTATCGACTACGACGACTAGCCTAATTGTATAACAAGAGCCACTGAGAAAGCTGCACACAACACCAACTGGTCTATAACCGCATTGGTACACCCCCCTTTCCTGTGGAAATACAGACGTGTGTTCAAACTCCACGCAAAGCGGACGAAGCAGGTGAGTACAACAATACTGCAAATTTGAATTACCTAGGCGCCGCACCATTCACATGATGATATCTCAAACTCAAAGCCATTGCCTTTAAAGTTTAAATTAAACCAAAAAAAAAACAAAAAACAGAGTATCGTAATACTATCATTAAGTTTAAGCACTTGACAAATGAAGGGGCAAAGTTGCAAACGTACTAATCGTAGTGCCTATTGATTTACTTAATGAGTCTTAATCAGTGGAGCTTGGACGTCAACAGAATATTATTGTTATCAGTGGAGTTCCTCTGTTCCAACATCAAGTTATCAACAGAATATTATAATCTCCCCTTCTCACCCTTCCCCCCCCCTTCCTGCCCCGCAAAAAAAAAAAAAAAAAAGAATATAATTATCCTGTTACTGAGCTACACAATCTGAATCATTGCACTCTTAAACAAATGTATCTACTAACACACACACACAAACACACACAAAAAAAAAAAGAAATTCAAAAAAAAGAAAAAAAAGAAAAATGAAAAATAAAGTGGAAATAGAAAAAAATCTACTAACCATTAATGAAGTTGAGACCTTGAAGAAATCACTACGACTAGTTACAATTACGTACTGATGTGCTACTGACGTGCTACTCGGAAAGACAGGAAGGCAGTCTTGTGAAGCTCAAACTCTTACAGTGGGTAGAACGCAAAGTAAGATAAGCGATTGATTACATAATCGAGCAAAGAAGGAAAGAAAACTTATGTCGAAACAAACTCGTGTGCGTGCGTGGAAACACAAGCTGCTGTGCTAAGGTGTGGTATAATTGTGGAGCAGGCCGATAATGAATGTATACAAGCTATCTTTCCGGTCCGATACAGTCATGAGATGAGGGTGCGCGTTGTGTTCGGGGGAAGACGGCAGTGTGGAATCACTGAGGAGCAGTCAGTCTCTGATCAGATGTGCTGCACCTGGCCGCTTCCTGCAGTAACATATTACATGCAGAATTATAGCATTGTACCCTGGTAGTACCCTCCTCCACAAACCTCACGTAAGCTGTCCAAGAGATAATAATCTGGTCAAAGTAGGCTTTCGGCTTTCATCTGATCAAATTAAATTAGGCTTTCATCTGGTCAAATTATATTAGGCTTTCATCTGGTCAAATTATATTAGGCTTTCATCTGGTCAAATTAAATGAGGCTTTCATCTGGTCAAATTATATTAGCGTTTCATCTGGTCAAATTGTACTAGGCTTTCATCTGCTCAAATCACAATAGGCTTTCATCTGCTCAAATCAAAATAGGCTTTCATCTGGTCAAAGTAGCATCTCATCTGGTCAAATTAAATTAGGCTTTCATCTGGTCAAATTAAATTAGGCTTTCCATCTGGTCAAATTAAATTAGGCTTTCATCTGGTCAAAGTAGCATCTCATCTGGTCAAAGTAGAAGTAGGCTTTCCTAAAGATAATCCAGTGACCGGTGCGAACCCGAGGCATTTGAAGAAAAGCCGGCCGACGGACATAACTTCTGCACTTTTTTTTGACTGCTCTTGTATTATCCCTTGGTTGGGTTTTAGATTCGGCTTCTGTTATCGTTATCCCTTTTTTTTTTTTTTTTTTTTTTCCGCTGGGTGCCTTCAAAACAGTAAATTCAGACATGACATGCGGCGGGCTATAAATAGAACGAGTGCGGAAGGTTGACCTCTTCTCTTGCCTGGTCTCTTGTCAGCAGAGTTGTGTTGGCAGTGATTGGCATCGATTGGGCGCATATCGAGAACTCTCGCCAGTCAGAAAAAAAAAAGGTTGGACCGCCGGAGTGTGCTCATCTCCACTTCCCTCTCCCCCTCCCTAATAGATTTGGCTGCAGCAGCTGCTATCAGCCATTCACCTTCCCTCTCTCTCATGTTGTACAAAGACTGCGAGATGAGATCGCCGGGTCGATTGCCGATCACTCTCGCGTTGGGGATGTTGAAGTCTATTATGCAGTCGCCGTCAAAATACTTGCAACTTTGAAGAGGTCAGCACCGTTGACCAAGAATCTTGAAGAGGTCAACACAGTTGACCAAGAATCTTGAAGAGGTCAGACAATGCTGGGGTTGGGCTCATGCCCTGAACCATCGCAGACGTCGCAGGCGAGAAAACCCGTACCCTCACAGTATGGGCACTTCGGATCCTCACCTGCCCACTCCAGAAACTGGAAGATCAAGGGTGTAGTACAGATGCCCATCACACACACACACA